GCCCCTGGTGGTTTGGGGGAGAAGCCGGGCGGCTAGGGGGTCTAACAGCGACATCGCACGAGGTGACCTTCCTCCTTCGCCGGCAGGAACGCCAGCCCCGGTGCTCAGTGACAGTGGTGCCCAGGCTTCTCGCACAGAGCAGCCAGTTTAGCCGACTGCTGCAGGGGTGCGGGGCGTGGGTGACGGGGCATCAGCCTACTCCGGGGTAGCGGACGGGCGGGCCTGGGGCTTGTGGTGGAGCAGACAGCTCCCTTCCCAACAGCCCAACAGCCCTCGAGGGGACTCACAGCCCGCTGAGCTTACGCAGGCCGGCCATCGCCCGCTAGTGGCCGACCCCACACACGCACACCACACACACCACACACCACACACCACACAGACGCCACACACACCACACACCACATAGACACCACACACCACACACACCACACACCACACCCAAACTGCTGACTTGGGTGGCTATTGGTGCCATGCACTGGGGGAGGAGACACAAGCACAGGTTTCGGGGAGAGATGACAGGCTCACTCCAGAAGTCCCAGCAGAGGTGTTCACCAAGCCAAGGAATGGAGGCACAGTACACACACACACCAAACACACCACACACCACACACACCACACACACCACACATCACATACACACCACACCCCACACACCACACAGACACCACACACACCACACACACCCCCACATACACGCAGGGCTGCTAACACGCCCCTCTCAGGGATGGGTGGGGTGCGGGGCAGTGAAGGTTCTAGGTGATTTAAGACAGTTTGCAAACACAGAGGTCTACAGCACTGGAGCGATGCCTGCATGTCTTTGCTTCATGTGAATCTTATCAGCGTTTATTAAGCACTTACTATGTGCCAGCCACCGCCTGTCATTGGGAACACAAAGATGGCAGGCAGAGACCTTCCCGGCACCAGAAAGAAGTCTCCTGTGAAACAGATTGCTCACACATCAGGTGGAAGCTGCCAGTAGGGTCAGGGCTAGGCCAGGGACTGTAAGACAGGGCTGTCAAGGGACAGGGCTGTCAGGGGACAGGGCCATCAGGGGACAGGGCCTTCAGAGGACAGGCCCGCGAGGGAGTGGCAGTGTGCCTGCCCCGGGCCGGAGCAGCGTGCAGAGCCCAGAGCAAGGACGGGTGTGACGGAAGCACCAGCAGCGGCACCGAGGCCGTGGCTCAGGGGACTGGTCGCGGGGGCCTGGCCGGGAGGGGTGTCGGAGGGTCTCTGCTGTGTGGCCGGACTGGGGAGGGCCCGGTGTGCCTGGCACAGGGGACGGATCGGTCCTGTCTGAACTCAGCCACGTGCTCTCATCCGGCACGTGTCGGGCGTCTCTCGGAAAGCAGTGGACATTTTTCTTTAAAAATACAGAAAGACAGGGTTTCGTGTCACACAGAAATGTCCTGCCTGGTTGCTGCACGCGCGTGCGGGGAGCTGCCTGCGACCTTCCCTGGGTCCACACCCTCCTGGCAGGCCACCGACTGGGGCAGCCTGGACTTTGCCTCTCTTGTCTACTTGTTTGATTGTTTGCTAATCTCTTTGCAAGAGAGTTTTTAAATTATTTAAGCCCCAAAACATCCTTCTGAGGTGCTTCAAGAGAACAAACAGTTCCACTGATAAGGATACTGCTTGCCTCTTCATTGAGTCCTTGTTTGGATCTGAGGTCGTGGGTTTCATTGGCCCTGTTTCCCAGCAGAGGACACTAAAGCTTTAGGGAGTGACTGTCCCCTCTGACCACTGAGCCCTCTTCCTGCCTGGCCAGCCACAGCCCCTGGCACCCTTACTTCTCACCTTGAAGTCTATAGGGCAGCTCACAGCTTTGGGCTATTTCGAGCCCTCTTGGGGTGGCCGGAGGCAGCTGCTTTGAGAAACGTCTGTCTCTCTCTCTGATGGTAGAATTTCTCAGCCTTCAGTGGGCGTGCGAATTACCGGAGGATCTTGCTGAAATGCGGATTCTGATTCGGGCTGGGGGGCGGAGCGGGGAGGGCAGGAGACGGTGCATGTCTAACACGTTCCCTGGAGAAGTGGGACCACTTCTTGACCATGGTTGGAAGAGTCGCTAAACTCAGAGCCTCCACTGGGGGCGCCCTTGCCCTCGGCATTGACCTCGGTCACCGCCTTGTTAGCGGGAAGAGCCTCTCCTTGGTCTTAGGGGGAAGCTCTCCACCGCTCCCATCGCCCGCATTTGCACAGACCCGGACGTCCTGGAGAGTGGGAAAGTCCCCCTGTGGCTTAATTAGAAGCTTCCTTAACCGTATCTGGAGCTCTTTCCGTAATCGAGTGGGGGAGAAAGTAGTTCTCCCAAAGACACTAGAGCACCCGGTGACACAGCATGACCTCTGAGCCCAGCCACCTTAACGCATAGCTTTTCTTTGTCTCCTTTTCTCTCTGGTGGCTGGGCCCAGAAGTCACGCTGTCAGAATAAGCAGCTTGGTAGCCGGAGCCCAGTTATCCAGGCCTGGGTACCTCTCACTGACGCAAAGTCAGCCATGTGATCAGGGCCCATCTCCATCCATCGCCATGTAGGGACTGGGACACGGAGAAGGCCGAAGCTCCGAGCGCAGGCGAGGGGGGATGCTGGACGTCAGACGAGCTGCGCGTGGTTGCCGTGGTCTGTGCAGGGTCACGTAGACGTCAGGGAGGTTCGTCTCAGACGTGCATGAGCACCTGGACGGGAGCATAGTTTCACAGGGATCGTCAGAAGCAAGGGGGATGGCGCTGACCCCTCACACGGTCACCTGGTGGGGAATAGACAAGTCCAGAGTGGGGAGAGGAGAGGACAGTGCGCAGCCCAGCCAAGGGCCTGCTGCTAGGGAATAGCCGGGTGCCCTGGTCGCCGCCGGCGGGTCAGCGTGGCTGGCACCGGGTGTGCGGCGGGCAGAGGGACCATCATGAAGACGTCACCGTTTCGCAGGAGACGTTTTGACAGCGCCTACTATGCGAAGGCCACGTGGCACCGCGGCTTTGTAGTGGGGCAGTCCTGCAGACGAGCCCCAGCTCTGTGTCACCTTGGCCGTGCCTTTCATCCCTCCGACTCCCGTTCATTGTCCTGTAAAATGATGATCACAGTCACTACCCCAGGGCAGTTGTGGGGGTGACACGGGGGGCTCTGTACACTGCCGAGTGCTCTACGACCAGATCGTGAGCGTCAGCCATGGAAGCTGTGGTGCTCACAGAGCACCGAGCCCGGCAGGTAACGGGGTAGAGTCGTGTCCAGGGAAAGGAGAGATTCATGGGAAACAGAGAAGTCAGCAAACACCCGGGACCAAGACTGCAGGAGCTTCAGGGGGCCGGGGGGCCTCACTGCCGCCTTTCACCTCCCCAGACGTCGACCAGTCCAGAGAAGATAGCTGAGCAGATAAGTAAGAACCTCGCCTGGCTGGCCTCCCACCTGATGGCTCTGTGGACCCAGTTCCTAGACACGGTGACTCTCCACTCCCAAGTGACCGCTTACCTCACACAGGAGCATCACACCCTGAGGGTAAGCCATCAGTCATGTGGTATGGGTTCTCTTATCACGTTCTCTTATCGCTCAAGGACGTCTCACGGCAGGTAGTTCGTTGGGCAGAATACGAACTGAGTTTAGCTATTGTAGCCCTTTAAAGTCCTGGCTCCACTGTGAATTTGCACTGAGGTTCTATGACCCTACTTAGCCTCTCGAACTTTGCCTCGACCCTTCATAAAATGCTTTTCATTGGCTACCAGATGATAACCTAGCCCATCTCAAGGGATATTGCAGATGCTTTGAAAGCGTTTTTGAGAAAGTATTTTCAAATGCGAGGCATCGCTCTGGGTGTATTTCTTTGCCGCCAGCTTGGATGCGTGCAGGCAGGTGAGGCGGTCTCCTCACTTACAGCAAGAGGACCCAATATCTGACTGAATCTACATGTGCTTAGGGGACACACGTGCGTGACGGGCTGTACACAATCTGTTTCATCTGCATTTTTCTGTGGTCCCTGTTTTCAACTGTTTTATATTCTAGTAGGATGAATAAGACCAAAATATAAAAATGACAGAAAGCAACGCAGGAACAGATAACGTGTTAAACTGTGTCCCTAAATCCGCCGGGGGCTGCAGCTGCACCAGAGAGGACCACTGTGTCAGAGAAGAAAGGGCGTCATTTCAGGCCTGAGTGGTGGGCTCAGCCCGTTATTCCTACGTGCTGCGGACCTCTGTGGACCTCCGTTTCCTGATAAAAAATCAAGGTACCACCCGCCCAGTGAGTTAAATTGTTTGCGTGATTTTATCCCTCAGGTCCGGAGGTTTTCTGAGGCCTTCTTTTACATGGAGCACCAGAAACTGGCCGTCTTGACCTTTCAGGAAAACCTGTAAGTAACCCATCACGTGCCATGTTGCACCCTGAAAGTGGGCGGCCGAGACATTCTCGGGCAAAGTTGCTTTTTCCATTCGTCTGGGGAGACTCTGCAGAAGGGGAGCCAACCCACCTCTGCACGTCCAGGCTGCATTTCGTCTGCAGGCGACAGAGGCAGACCGACTGCAGAGGCGGGAGCTGGCCAGTGGCCGAGGTCAATAGCCGAAGGTCCCTGAAGACACCTGTGCTGAGTCCTCTTTGCAAAATGAATTAGAAGCAGATGGTATGGCCACAAGCTATGTAAGAAAAAACACGGAATTCACTAGAGACTTTGCAATAGTTATGAAATGCATTGAGCATAAGAATTCAGACCGAACTCCCTAATTAGGAGGACTGATGACTTTCTAAGTTCACCTTCCTCCAAAATTAAAGAAAAAGTTAGAGCATAGTTGAAAATGTCAGAGGGTTGACAAAAGATGAGGTCATCCTCTCGAGTGAGAAAAAACAGTTCTTCCCACCCGCCCAGATATGTCGACCTTCGTTACACAAGTCCAGGGGTTTCTTTTTGTTTCTGAATGATATATTCACCCCGAAAGCTAAACGTGGATGGAATAATGTTTGAGACGCCGTAGTAAATCCAGCTGGAGAAATACTTGAGATTCATCCATCACTCAAGACAAACCTGATGGTCTTTTCACCCCTTAGCTTTGTAGCCGGGTGTTCACCCCCACTGCCTTCTGTTGGAGGAAAGGACAGTGAGTGACATTTAGAGTCGGCCTCCTGGGTTCTGCGTGTTAGGACGGCTTCTTCAGAAATATCTAGACGCACGGTGCCCTGTGGGTCTGCGTTTGGTGGAGGTCCCGTTTTTCACTCACTCGTTTATTCATTCGCTCAGTCAGTCCGGGCCCCGGCTAGAACTGGCTGAGTGTATTTTCGAAAACTGACAAGCAGAAACGTCACTTTTCAGGGTCACTGAGCAAAATACTGCAAATGAGGACGACTGTGGGAAGTCCGCTTCCTGAGTCACCCCAATCATAGTCGAACCCCAGATGGCCGGGACACGATTGTGTCCCCAAGGAGCGCGGGCACACATGCAGGTGACGGACACACAGGCGAGGGCTCTCCTGGAAGAGTAGTGTTGACATGCCAACCGCTCGTGCAGAGTGCAGGGAACGGAGCCCCCAGCCCACCTGGGTTCAAATCCTGGTCCTCCGTTTGCTTCCAGTGGATCCTCGAGAAAGTTATTTTTATGTCATTCTCGTTTTTTTAATTAAAAAAAATTTTTTTTTTCCTTAAACTTGACCAAGTCCTATTTTCCTTAAAATGGGCAAGATGACAGCTGTGAAGGCCCATGGGACAGGGTCCAAGCCACAGACTGCTCAGGCAACACGAGGTGGTGACCAGGGAGGGCCACCGATGTTCACTGCACACACAGGCACGAAGGATATGGCCGGGAACCGCGTAAAGACACTGCCCTCATGCACCACGCCTTTTAGTGGAGAAAGAGGCAGGATGTAAATTTGGTCACTTCAGGGAGTGACAAGGAAGGAAGAACGAGTCAAAGCAAGGACACAGGAAACGACGGGCCGGGGGTTGGCCAGGGTCCTCACCCACACTTGGTAACTGGCTCTCAGAAGAGCGAAACTAAACCATGAGCCGACTCCAGTCTGCAGCGCTCGCCGACTCCCGTGGGGTGAGCGCCCCGCAGTGGTCAGTTTCAACCCACCATGGGTTACCTCTGAGCTTGGGGTTGGGAGGACAGGTGTCCGATTGGTTCTTGCACTGACTCTGGGCGTGGGGTAAGGGCTGCTGTGGCCGAAGCGGTAAGAGGAAGTCTCCGAAGCTGTGGCCTTTGAGCAGAGACCGGCTGACAGCAAGCTGTACCTTGATAGCGAACATGGCCGAGTAGGCAGAGGGAGTCGCTGGGGGAAAGGCTCTTGTTCGGGAGGGAGCACAGAGTCTTCCAGTGGCAGCGGGAAGGTAAGAGCAGCTGACTGGAGTGAGCAAGGAGGAGGAGGGACAGAGGGAGGGAGGGCCAGCTAGGTAGGTAGGGACCGGCCCACGTGGGACTTTGTGTGCCAGGATGAAGGGTTTGGACTTTGTGCCATGACGATCATGATGAATGCCTTTCTTTTGACTGTCCAGTGCATATGCTGGAAAGACCTTGAACTGCAAATCTCACACACGTGGTTTGACATCTTGATTCTATAACTTACACAACTCGGGACATCAGACTCGTGGCCGAAGCTCTCAGCGTGGTGCTGAGATGTAAAAGGGGGTGTCGGTCATTCGGCAAGCGTCTGGTTAGTGTTGATGGGGAGCCAGACACGGCTCTGCGTGTCGGATGTCCAGCAGTGAGCGAAGCAGACACACTTTCTCTCTCACAGAGACTATATGCACGGAGTGGAAGTCAATAAATATGATATGCCAAATAGCACGAGCATTATGGAAAAATATGTGTCAATGTGAAAAAGAGGATGTGGTTCTATAGTGTAGCGGTGAGCACGTCTGCTTTACACGCAGCAGGTCCTGGGTTCACGCCTCAGTGGAGCCACGGTCCCTGGTCTACGGCCACGCCACCCTGAGCAAGCCCGATGTCTGATCTCGGAAGCTAAGCAGGGTCGGGCCTGGTTAGTACTTGGATGGGAGACCACTTAGAAAGACGAGGTGCTGTAGGCATAAATAATAATAAATAATATAAAAAAATGTGAAAAAGGGATTATAATATTTGTCCTGTAGCGTAACTTTAAGAAAGTAGATTCGTAATTAATTAATAGTATCTACGACTCTACAAAAAAAGCACAGACTAGGATGAAACAGTAGTATTCAGGAGGAAATAGACTTCTAATTAGGTCGTGAAGAATAAGAACTATTGAACAGAGAGGGATGCTGTGTTACAGTTCCGTGATTAATCACCCGATTTATTCACGACTCCATAATCTCTCTAGGATTAGAATCAAATTTCAGTCCCCTAGGTATACACTCCAGCCTGTCTACACGGCTGCGCAGTCCTGTGCATATTACCATTCCATCACTACACTTGTCTAATAAGCTAAAAACAGAACCGAAAATTCCAGGTTCAGAGGATAGCTAAGAACTGCAGCAGCGATCACAACACAAATGCCATTGAAATATCCGGAGAAGGGTCGAAGGGTCATGAAGTTGCAGCAGACGTCAGGGCCTTGAGGGAGAGAACGCAGTGCTTATCCTTGTATTTCAAAGGCTGAATTCCAATTGAGAAATAAGAAGGAAATGTCCGTAGTTCATATGTCTAAGTATATACGTGTATAATGTCACGTATCCGTATACATTCATTATATTTGTTCCCGAGAACGCTGAATTAGCGACGTTGCTGTGGGCTCGTGCAGAGTTCCACAGCCGCAAAGCCGTTGGTGACCGCCTGGCCTGGGGAGTGACGTGGGGCTTCCTGAGGTCGGGCTGCTCCCAGAAGTGCTACAGTCAGACAGACAGACAGACAGACAGACAGACGTGAGCTTCGCATGCTCAGCTCTTCTCCCAAACGCCACAACCGTGAGACCGTCATCTTCCCCTGGACAAGAGTGAGGTGGCGTCGGCAGAAATGACGGGATTTTAATCATCTTCCTTCGAGGGAAATAAACTCTCCCCGCTTGGCAGGGAGTTGAGGAGAAGGGAACAAACATTTTCTAACTTTGAATTAGGAATGTTGACTATTTGCAAATGCCGGGACCAAATCCTTACTGGTGGAGGGATATTTGGGCCGTGGAGGAAAACTATGCGTACTTCTAAAATCCTTTATCGAGGAACCAAGAAGCGTGGTCCCTGAAACAAACAAACAAACAAACAAAAAGCATTGTACGTTAACCTAGCATGCCCATGTCCACACGGTAAGCGATAAAGAAGAAAACTGAGATGGTTCTTCATTCAAGAGCCATAAATGTGACTGATTTCCTCGGTGCCAGCGGCGGTTAGAGAAGGAGGGGTAAGGTTTATATAGATTTAAGTTTTTCCTCCAAAACGTAAGATGCCTAGCCATCTAGAAGCTCAGCTCATCCTCCACGAGGACAGCATTTGTTACTGAATGAAACGTGCTAAGTGCTCTGCGTTCTCCTAATCACGCAAGCCTACCTCTGACCTCGGCACCCAGACCAGTTCTGATGCGAAGGCAGCCCACGAGAGCTTTAGGGACCGGGCAGGTGGCTGGGAGGAAGGGAAGGGCAGGCAGACAGACAGATGGTGGTTGTGAGTCTGCTGAACGTGATCTGAGTGTTTCTTCGGGATAAAGGGGGACGGGGTGACAGTTTGAAAGCAGGTACGTCCTCCTTGGTTGCTCACCGTCCCGTGCATCCCCAGGATACAGACCCACAGCCAGCTGTCTCTGGAGGTCCGGAACTCGGAGTACCTGGCCACCATGCCCCCGCTGCCCGCAGAGTGCCTGGACATCGACGGCGACTGGAACACCCTGCCAGTCATCTTTGAGGACAGATACGTGGACTGCCCTGCGACAGGTGTGTCTTCTTTGTTCTGGGAAGACTCACGGATGGGGCTGGGGCCTCTGGGTTCCAGTCACTTGCCCTGTTCGTGCCCCAGTCGCAGTGGGGCCCAGTAGATTAACGAAGAAGTCGTTCGTTACCTCACGGAGGAGAAGCAAAAAGTAAGGTTCAGCTAGTTATTAGAAAGGATTTTTTTTCCCCTGGTGAAATCGACAAATCGGTGTAACAAAAGGGCGATTATAGTGAATATTCCCTCCTCGCTCCTTCTGGGGTGGAATTGTACCTGGTGCCTCAGTGTTTACACCCACAAAACGGGAGCCGACCCCCCACCCAACCGGAGTCCACGAGCGCTGGAGGGAGACCCTTTCTGATCTCGAATGTGCAATTCAAATTCAAAGTCATTTCTAGTGAACTTTCAGAGGCATTCAGTCGGACGGCTCTGGCGTGCTTGCCGTATTCGAGGGAGTAGACTGCGTCGGGACGTGGGTTAGTGGATGAGCGGCTCCTTTTAGGGAGAAAAGAACGTGTCCGTGTGTGTCTGTGCGTGGATGCACATCGCAGCGTGCTCTCTGGTGTGGCGCAGTCTGGTAATGAAGTGACAGGTCACCCGGAGAGAGCCCGGTGCCCGCTGGACGTGAGGTGTGTGTTGGTCCTCGGTCCCCTGCCACAGCCCCGTCACAGAAACCCAGCAGACTATTACAGATGACAGAGCCGAAAGGGACCCCTGACCCCCGAGAGGGAAGCGCCAGGCCCTTTGCTGCAGGTCATGTGCATTTTATCATTTTCGTCTGTAACAAAAACCTCACAGGCCTTGTTTCCCAGGGAGCCCCTGAGGCCCTGGGAGTGTGTGTGTCTTAAAGCTCGTGCGCTTATCAAAGCCAGCATTCAAAGCCAGTGTGCTCCATCTCCACACCCCGTGAGGCCTGCCTTGCCCTCCCTTCGCGACGTGTTTTAAAACATTCTGCTCGGGTGCCCGTCATTTACATGATGGGCCACTTATACTTCGGACGTGTGAGATTTGTAGGATGTTTCTAAAGTCTAGGTGGCTTGCGAGGACAGCGCAACCTCACAAGCGATGTTATTTGGCGCTCAGTTGTACCCTGACATCTAGTGTCCAAACCGGGTATGACAGCTAACATGTGGACTAGCTCTAGTCTCTTAGGCCAGAAGCTTAAAACTTTGCCTTGAGGCTTTGTGTATGTGCGTGTGTGTGCATGTGTGTGTGCATGTGAGTGTGTACATAGGTCTATGTGTTCGTGTTTATTACAGGTTTATAATTCAACTACAGAAAATTTGAAGAGTTGGAGAAGAAATTTAAAATCGGCACCCCTCATCAGACCGTCTTATATTATCATCATTGCAAATCACCTTCCAATCTTTTTTCTATGCATATTAGTAGATACCCTAGTGGATCTGAATCTCAGTTCCTAACTGTGAGCGCAATCATGTTGCATGCCTTTATTTTTCGTAGCGTAGTTTCACATGAGCTGGGCTCCATTCCTCCTGCAGCGTTAGCTGGAGAGTCAGCCTTAGTCTATCTGGGGCTTCCTGCCAAGCCCTCGCCCCTTCGCCTGTCTCACTGGGGCCCTACAGTCCGGCACATCTGCCCACGTGGGTTCCTCTAAGCCATGCATCGTCCACTCTATGTCCCATGCATCGTTCATATCTACGCAGAATTTTAGGACCGGCATCTCTTTGTGGCGTCTGTAATGTTCTTGGGATGTGAGACTCAGCCGCGGCTGGGACCCCAACACGATGGTCTCATCTTCCTAGGAGACCCCAGCGCAGTTTCTCTCAGAGCCCCGACCACCTCCTCGGGTCTTCTCCCTACAGACCTGTCACCTGACCCATCCCCATCCCCCAAACTGCTTTTACAGAGTGAACCTGTGTCCCCACTCAAACCCAAAGCCTCGCTCAACCCTCTTGTTCCTTTGCAGTGCCCTTTGATGATTCCTTAATCCCAAGACAAAAGTGTTAGCAAATGTGGAACTATTTTCTTTTTCCCAAAGGGCTTGGTGACCTTGATATGTCTAACTTGCAATGAGGGTATCAGCTCCACATTCCATTCTTTTAACGCAGCGAGAAAGAGAAAAGAGTCATGTTTCCACATTAAAATAATAGCATGCTCTGCTACAGTCCCATGGCTAGAACACCTACTGTGTGCCAGGCACTCACCAGTTCTGTCTGTGTTACCTGTAATCCCTTCTCCCACCCACCCCTCACCTGTCCCAAGGTGTCTGAGCGGTTCGCCTAAGGCTTTTACATTTGGCCAGACTGCCTAGATTTGAATCTTCTTTTCCAACAATTAGTAGCTGAAATTGCGCCGCAGAGTTGTAATTTCTACCCCATAGGGCCACTGCGAGCAGTGGATAGATCCATCCGTAAAACACTTAAGAGCGACCAGCTCGAAGGAAGTTATGAATGCGTGTCCACGCATACCCCGAGCTAGTATCTGACTCTGTATCCATCCCTCTGAATCAGATCCTTTGCTACTCTCGTTTTTCCTTCGTTGTAGCCGTGGAAGTAAAATGTTGCTACTTGGACAATTCACTTCCTCACCGGGTTCCCTGAGTCCCGTCTCAACTGTCTGCGTTGAATCCGATACGTGTCTTATTTCTGTCCCAAGAATCCACCTGTTACCTGTAATATAAAGTCCAGCATCCCCGTTTGTACAGGGCACGCGAGTTCATCTATACTGTGGGTTCTCTCTGCTTCTCCTGTTCACTCCTTCTCCACCCACATGGGATTGAGCTGATGCCCGACTAGACCGTGCACCCCGGGCTTCTCAGCCTTTGTCCACGCTGCCCCCCGTCCCCGCCAGGTGTGACTCGTTATCTCCTTCTTGGAAGAAGATGGAGTCATATTCTCCAGGCTGCGGCCACGTTCTTTTGGTAGGGGAGCCAGTTCTACTGTACCTGCCTATGTTTCTCAGCATTTTTTAAACCCCTCAGAGGCAGAGATGGGCACATAATTGCCATCGATCCTTAATCCTCCTCTTCCTAACCCATGGCCTAGTATAGGGCTTTTCCTGTAGGATATGTCAACGTTCCATTTTTGGAACTAAATGACATTGAAATTGCATTTCCCCCTCCCCACCCCCCGAACCAATACAAATAGCTAACGAGAATAATAGTCTGTGTTCTGCTGCATTTCTGCTCTATTCTTAATCCGTTTTATGAACACAATTCGTTGACCGTGTGCCGGCCATGACGCTAGCTTTGGGGATATAGATATTCATCTAACAGACCCTTCTGTCCAGTGGAAACACGAAATGCATCATGGATCATAGTATGGCAATAGATGTGTTACATTACGTATGTGCAGAGATGACACTGGGAATTTGAAACGGAGAATTGTCATCTTGCTGTAGCGTGTGGGAGCTTTCCCCCAGAGGAAGGGGAGTTTGCTGAGTCTCTCAAGATGCAGAGAATGTGTCCAGGTAAAGAAGAGGTCCCTCCTTTTCCAGCCTTTGTTCATAAACGTCACTCAAAGGTGAGAGATGATAGCTCAAAGTCCCACGCCGTTTTTAAGTACCTCCGTGGTTTATTTCATGGGTAACATTCAAGAATGATCATAATCATTTTACTTCTATTAAAACCATATGGAGGATTTAAACTTTTAAAAGAAACTAAAAGACCAGCCCTTGTTTTTTATTCGGTGTATGTGGAAATGGAAGCCTCAGTGTCCGGAGTTTTCGGGGAGTTTCATCGTGTAGGTGTGAGTGATTGAACTCAGTCCCCAGCCCACCTCCCCTCATCAGAGGGGGTCACCTGTCAGAAAGCCCCAACCAGCTAATTGCATGGTGGTAGGCATAAGCTATCAAGGGTGTCACCGTGGGTCACATGGTCAGCATGAGCTAGCGGGGCCCATCCTGAATACAGAGGCGTTCCTGTCACTTGGAAAATTCTAAGAATTTAGAGGTTATGTCTCAGCATCCAGGCATAAAGTCTAGCCAAATTCTTTATGATACAATCAAGCATTTGGATAAGTGTAAACATAGATTTTTAAACTATAATACGTTTTCTTTCTTTCTTTTTTCTTGTTGTAGGGCATAATTTGAGTGTTTACCCTGTTTTTGACGTTCCAGCAACAAGTCCCACAAAAAGGAGTCTAAAAGACAGAGAAGAAGAATGTATTGTAAATAGAAAATCACCTTTTAGGGAAAACCTCGCCTTGCCCACCATGAAAGCACCTCAATCAGACTCTGACGAAGTGGGGACTAGGTGTCCAAAGCCAGATGAGGCTGTGACCGCACCAGGTCACACAGACACGTGTTCTGAGTCTCAGGTGTGTCTGACAGTTGGTGAATTCCAGGACAAAGCGGGTTTGCCCGAGGACGCGTGGCAGGCTGGCCCGGGGTCTGATGTTGGAATGCATTCGCTGGCATATGGGGACCCGCCCGGCAGGAGTCCAGGCCCAGAGGGTGGCCAGGACCCCGCGTGGACCGATGCTGATGTACGGTCCAGCGGTAATATCCCCTGCAGCACTGACCCCGCCATGGCCACTGGGGCTTGGCACGAGAGTGGGCACTTTGGAGATACCTGTGAACCAGACGGAGCTCCGCTACGTGAAGGGGTGGCCGGTGGGGGTCAGCAGAATGCCATCGCTTCAGAGAAGACGGCGCCCCATGAGTCACAGATGCTGGGACAGGGGGCTGGCCGGGAGGGCAAGGCCGCGCTGCTAAGTCTGAAGCTCCACCCCGGGGAGCCCGACGAGCCACCCGGCTCGGCTCTGGGGGACTCCTGGGATGTCAGGGCTTCCCCCAAGGACCCTCGCACAGAGGGCCGGGAGGAGCTGGCGCTGCTCTCGGGGCTCATCAAGCGGTCGTCTTCCGTCATCTCCGATTCCGGCATCGAGAGCGAGCCGAGCTCCGTCGCCTGGTCCGAGGCCCGAAGCCGGGCCCTGGAGCTGCCCAGTGACCGGGACGCCGTGCACCAGCTGGTCCGGAGGCACGCCCTGCACCGGGCCTCCCTGGGGGGCGGGCACACAGAGAGCAGCACGAGCCTGCCCAGCGGCGCCCAGGCGTCCCTCACCTCCATTAGCTCTTTGCCTTTCGAGGAAGAGGGGCGGGAGGTGGAACTCACCAAGCTGACCAAGTCAGTCTCTGCACCCCAGATCAGCAGCCCGGAGGAGTCTGCTGAAGATGTGGGCGCCGTGCGGCCCGTGGGGGGTCTCGCCGAGGCCGCAGCTGTGCACGGCAAGGGCGCAGATCCTCCGGGACCCTGCCTTCGACTCGGCGGTGGCTCCGGAATCCAGGACGCTGGGGTGGACTGTCCTCCTCTGGACGTGGTTTCGGGTACTGACAGCCGGCAGGGCCCCGGGGACACGGACACCTGCACAGCTGGGGACAGTCAGTCTGACTCTCGAGGACCCTGTTGTCTGGATGGCAGGACCGAGAACCCTCCAGGTGTCGAAACGAAAGGTCTTAATTTAAAAATACCGTGTATCGTAGCGCCGGGACACCCTGAGGACGGACCTTGTCCCGGAGCACCAGCGGGGACGCCTAAGGACACGTCTGCAGAGTCAGGTGTGGGGGAAGGAGCTGTCTCTGACAGCAGCAGCTCAGACGTCACGAGCCTCGCTGGACCGGGCCGTACATCCGCTCCCGATGCCATCGGCCCGGATGCGGCAGGCCAGCGAAGCGTCTCGGGGGATAGAGCGTTTGGCAGAGGAGCTAGCCCCTTCCCGGAGGTCGGCCATGGGGCAGGCTCCGTGTGCTCCACTGCGGCTCACGCCAGTCCCTCCCAGGTTGCGGGAAGCCAAGAGCCGAGGGCAGGCACCTCCGTCATGGTGTCCCAGCTGGCCCCCGCCGAGACCTGCACTCCAGACAGCCTGAAAGCTGTGGCGATCGTCAACTTGTCCGTGTCTTGCACGGCCACGTGTCTCCCTTTCTCGTCTGTGCCCAAGGAGACCCCGGCCCGGGCTGGGTTCTCTTCCAAGCAGACCCCGTTTCCCATCACGCATCAGCCTCTGGGTTCCTTTGGGGTCGTCCCCGCCCGTCCCGGCAAGGCGGAGGAGGACGCCGGCGGGAGGATGTTCAGGTAGGCCAGCCGATGCCGTAGCCGGCCCAGGCTCTCCCGCGTGCCCGCGAGGGTCTCGATTTCATGCTCACGGTCTCAAAATGGAGGTATCCGTTGTTTTCTCATTTCAATGAAGTACTATGTTCATGTCGTTCAAGTCAGAAACAGAATAAGGGAGTAAAAATTACCAGGAAGCCCAGCTCTCAAAAAGAGACCCCGCGTGAATTTTTCTCACACTTTTTTTCCATCTGCATCTGTATCTATATTTTCTTTTTATGGGAAAATGCGATAATTCTGTACAGACTAAGTGTTTTTCAGCTTAATGTATCGGACACATCTATGATTGAAAATCGATTTTTGCATTATCATGTTAATTTTTAAGCAAGATTCCATCGTATTGATGTAGTATAGATTTGATTAACAAACTCCTTCAGAGATGGCCATTTAAGGGTTTTTAGTTCAGTTTTTATTATACTCAGTGGCCTGTGATGCGTGTCGTGGGACCTCTATCTTTGCACGTCTGAGACGGCAAGTCTCTAAAGAGCCCTTGGGGAATAGGTTTGCCTCCTGAGCCCCTTTCCTGCGGCTCTTAAGCTTATCATTCCTTTTGCAATGTCAGAATCCACCCTTTCATCCTTGGGTTGGGTTTGTATCCATACTTCTCCCCGACCTGTAAACTATATATTTGATTCAGTGTATTATAGAATCATTTTATCAAAGCATCTCATCTTATTTACTCTTTTGCAAATGCTAGAGAGTTTCACATTCCTGACATTCCCAAAAGAAATGGCACAGGCCAGGTATACTTCATTCTGCTGTTTTATACAGAAGAGTCAATAACTGTTAATGCACCCACGTCATCAGTGTAACAGATTTCCAGTGCCTGGCCACTGTCGTCCTGGCTGTTACTACACTCACAGCCTGACAGAGAGACAGAGATGAGGGACGTAAATGGGGGCAGTTGGGTAAATGGGGTGGTTCGCGTGCCACAGCTGAGCCAGTGGGAGAAGGATGTGCTCTGGCTGGGGACAGTGAGTGCGAATAGAGACGGTGGCCAGGAGAAGATTTTTGAAGGTGACATCTAAGCCAAAAAGAAAATGCTAATGACATGCTAATGAGGATGTGGCTAGTAATAGGTGACATTGTCATACGATTTAATCAGTGTCAAGTACAATTCTAAGTTTCATACATTATATCATCACTTAATACGCAAAGCAACTTTATCAATTAGATAACG